CTAATATGTCGCAGGCAAAAGTTATAGAGTACCGGAACAAACTTGTGTCTGAATTCGAAGCTTCACTCCGTCAAGTTTCGGTTTGGGGTCAGGAAAATCGTGTTCAATTCAACCTCAAGAAGACACAAGTTTGCGCGTTTACCACTAAAAAGTTTTTTAGTACTAAACAGGCAAAGATAGATAATTATAAAGCTTAAACGCCCTGACAAGGTTAATCCGACCCTGCATATGGAATAGAATAGAATAGAAAATCGTTTATTCAAATAAACTTAATTTAAGCACTTTTGAATAGTCAACATTTTTTTAAATCTACCGCTTATTCGGAAAGCTGTCCCATCACAAGAAGAATAAGCAAGAAACTTGTGTGTTGCTCTTTTAAACAATCCTTGTAAGTTCACATTTTACAAATCGAAACGTGTGAATACAAACTACCAACCAGCACTAATTCATTTATGGAAGACCTGTAGTGTATGAAACAAAGCAAGTTGAAACAAAAATTATATATATACAAAATATTGTCCCTACTTTTGTTAGTTAGGTTTTTGTTTAGGATGATAATGGAATGGTACACCCACCTGCGCTATCGGTTTACGCTGGCAGGGCACCAGTGGAGGATGATAGGATGAACATGAAGTCAGATCAGTTAGCCCAACGTGACAGATTCACCGGAAATGTATGACGATGGATTCCAGGGGGAACCGCGTGGAGGTCGATCTGACAGCAATGGGATCATTAGTCCACACTAACAATTCCCTTCCCCCCTGTTAGTTAGGTTAAGTTGTTTTTAATTCTATACTTGCCCTAAGAAGTTTCTAACCAGTCTCCTGGAGGTTGTTGCCCCCGTAAACCATGCCGGGGCAAAGGAGTTCGCCCCGAGTCCCCAACCTATACCTCCCTAGGGGGTTGCGAATGACCAGTCAACTTAAGGCCGTCACTAGTCTAGATATAACGTCGCTTCGAAAGTTTTTTTTAACACTAATCAGGCAAAGGTAGATAATTATAAAGCTTAAACGCCCTGACAAGGTCAATCCGACCCTGCATATAGAAGAAAAGAAGCGGATGAAACAAAACGTATTATTAACAATATTAATATTTGTTCAAATGTAAGGCCATCACTAGTCTTGATATAACATCGCTTCGAAAGTTTTTTTTAACACTAAACAGGCAAAGGTAGATAATTATAAAGCTTAAACGCCCTGACAAGGTCAATCCGACCCTGCATATGGAAGAAAAGAAGCGGATGAAACAAAACGTTATTGTATTATTAACAATATTAATATTTGTTCAAATGTAAGGCCATCACTAGTCTTGATATAACATCGCTTCTAAAGTTTTTTTTAACACTAAACAGGCAAAGGTAGATAATTATAAAGCTTAAACGCCCTAACAAGGTCAATCCGACCCTGCATATGGAAGAAAAGAAGCGGATGAAACAAAACGTTATTGTATTATTAACAATATTAATATTTGTTCAAATGTAATGTAGTTTGTTCGCCTATGTTCATTGTTACCACGGCTATTATTAAACCTCGGGAAATAATTTATTCTTGAACAATAAGAGGCCATTGACGGCTTTGGGACCCAGCGGTTTAGCACACCGGAATGGCGGTGTGCTAAACGGTTATCCGTTTCGATTCCTCGCACGGTAACATTTGTATTTATGAGTATGATTGTTTGTATCGGTCTGGCTGTTTTATATGTACACTAGCCGATATTGCAAACGTTGTTTTGCCATATAAATTAAAATCGCTATTAAAAAATAAGGGTTGGTGATAGAAAGGGTGAAAATTTAGGGTGGTATGTATTTATAAATGCAACATTATAAAGAAATAAATGTTATGTCCAAAAAAAAAATGTTAGGGGTGAATAACCCTTATCATTTAGAGGTATGAAAAATAGATGTAGCCGATTCTTAGACCTATTGAATACACATATAAAGTTTCATAAGAATAGTTCAAGCCGTTTCGCCGGAGTATAGTAACTAATATTGTGACACGAGAATTTTATATATATGACTAGCTACTCACACCGGCTTCGCACGGGGGTACATGTATTATATATATAAACCTTCCTCTTGAATCACTCTATCTATTTATAAAAACCGCATCAAAATCCGTTGCGTAGTTTTAAAGATTTAAGCATACATAGGGACGGACAGACATTGACAGCGACTTTGTTTTATACTTAACTTGCTACTCGGCCCGGCTTCACACGGTTTTACATGTATTATATAATATAAACCTTCCTCTTGGATCACTCTATCTATTAAAAAAACCGCTTCAAAATCCGTTGCGTAGTTTTAAAGATTTAAGCATACATAATGACGGACAGACAGCGACAGCGACTTTGTTTTATACTATGTAATAATTTATAATAATCATATTAGCTAATGTTTTATTGTAATTATATAATAAATACACATTATTGAATAATACCTCATTAAAACATGAACACTAAACATTAAACAAATACGATTACACATGAAAATATATTGTAGTTTGTTACTGAAATAGATTTTTTTATTAATTCCATACCATTTGTGTTTAATGTGGTTAAACAAGTTATATCCATACGATATCTATACTTATAATAAATCTGTACAGTTGTCAATTCTGTAGATGAAATATATTTAAACAAAATAACTATTAGGGGGCGATTAGTGATAGATACTGATGACAAAAATGCAATCTGTTCGTTATAGAAACAAAAACTACTCGCTTTATGTTACGGCGGGCGATATTTGCGTTTTAAAAAATATATTTTATTTAATTAAAACAATAAAATTATCAAAGTACAAATGTATAATTATACATAATTATACATTTGTACTTTGATATATGGTTGTCTGAACAAGACTGTCCTACATGCAACAAACAATTATATAAGTTAGGTGCCAATATTCTTGGTAATTTACTGTTCCCGGTAGCGGTGTCAGCTTATTGTGCCACACAGCAATTTACCAGGCGTTCATCATCATCATCATCATCGCAGCCCGGAAGACGTCCACTGCTGGACATAGGTTACGCCGTTACGCCATGGTAACTCTCGTCGGATTTTTTTTTATTTATTTATTTATTTATTTGAGCGACCAACAAGACATACACTATGAGGTTACAATTATTATCACTTGCAAAAAGGGTATATAGTTGTTGACTTAATTACTGGCTGCCACGGCATGCGTAAATGTTCACAGAAGTTTATATATGTATACACATTGATCTTTTTATTTTATTTTACTTTATATATATATTTATTACTATTATTATTATAATTATATATATATGTGTCATCATCATCGTCATCATCATCATCATCATCATCTACTTATCTCATTCTATTGGGGTCGGCGTAATATTGTTTTTCGGCCGCTGGTCACTACGATGTGGCAGATGTTGATATGGTAAGTATACTTTTGTTTAGAACGTATACAACATTTATTTATTTATTTATTTAAGGGACCAACAAGACATACTATGATGTTACATTTATTATCACTTTCAGAAAGTTCAGGTATATAGTGTTGACTTAATTACTGGCTGCCACGGCATGCGTAAATGTTCACAGAAGTTTATATATGTATACATATTGATCTTTTTATTTTGTTCTAGTTTATATATATATATATACCGATTTTTTTCTTATATAATTTATATGATATAAAAAAAAAATATATGATTTTAACGAAACTTGGTACAATTATTCTTCATACTCCTGGACAGGTTATAGTATACTTTTCGTGACGCTACGATCAATAGGAAAAAGGGTTGTAAGGTGTATATGAAACTATGTTGTTGGTCGAGACGATGTATATTACAGATGATAATAAACTGACAATATGTACATAGAAATAATGATCTTATATACTAAATAACAATAGGAAAATGTAAGGTGGGGTGACACAGTTTAGACACGGCAGTGCTTAGTAGACAATATTGAATTTGTCTTACTAGACATTATTAAATGCAATTATTATTTTGATGTATCTAGGTGACTGTGTCCCATATAGGGGATTGACTGGGGAAAGTTTGAATGGAAATATAATTTTTAAAGCTTGAAACTTTGTTTCTAGGCTGATTTGATTAAATATAAATAAATATGACATTCAAAGTTTATAAAAAAAAATGAACGTCATTGTTACCCTTAAGGGGGTAAAATAAAATAGAGGATGAAATTTTGTATATATAATCATATTTTTTAAAGTTACATCGATGATTCTTTTTTCTATGACCTTTTTGGGTTAGACATTGGAATTTTTTCTTTATTTGCTCAAAAGAGAAATAAATATAAATAAATATGACATTCAAAGTTTATAAAAAAATTGAACGTCATTGTCACCCTTAAGGGGGTAAAATAAAATAGAGGATGAAAGTTTGTATATATAATCATAATTTTTAAAGTTACAACGATGATTCTTTTTTGGGTTAAACATTGGATTTTTTTCTTAATTTACTCAAGAGAGAAATAAATATAAATAAATATGACATTCAAAGTTTATAAAAAAATTGAACGTCATTGTCACCCTTAAGGGGGTAAAATAAAATAGAGGATGAAAGTTTGTATATATAATCATAATTTTTAAAGTTACAACGATGATTCTTTTTTCTTTGACTTTTTTGGGTTAGACATTGGAATTTTTGCTTAATTTACTCAAGAGAGAGACGCAGATGAAGACGGGGGCACAGATAGTAATAAAATAATTACTGAAGGTGGAGTCTGAATTAAATGGCATGGAAAACCGCAAAACAACACATGTAGCAATGTAATTCTTATTAGGAAGGGACTAGAAACACTTGTGAGAAAGTCATATCTATTGTGAATATGAATATAAATGTATAACAATGTAAATGAATATACATATAAAAAAATGTAATAAAAAGGACATTAACCATGTGTATAATAGAAAATGTCAGCGGAAGGTCGAAAAATAAATGGAGAAATGATATATATATAAGGAATGTGAATGTAGAAATTTATACATTCAAGTTATTTTCTAAGTACCAGACCACGGTAGAGACATGAAGCGAATAATCTTTTTACTCTGTGTTTATTTAACGGTAAGATTTATATTTATAATTAGATTTATATATATAAGATGCTCAGTGGTCTAGCGGTTTAGCATACCGCTTTACGCCCGATAGTTGCTGGTTCGATTCCCCGCTGGGTGTTTTTAATGGATGATAATGGTATGGTTCACCCGCCTCCGCTAACGGTTTACCACGCGGCACCAGTGGAGGATGATAGATTGGGAAGGGGGACAGGTTAGCTAGCCAGTCGTGGTAAATGCAGGAATTTATTACCGAGTTTACAGGGGGAACCGCGTGGAGGTCAACCTGACATGGTACATTGGTAGCAATCGTGTCATCGGCCTACATTACTAACAAGTCCTGAGGTCACGTTACCATTCTATCGCGATTCGATGTTTTGTAGGTGGTTTAGGGCAGGTTGTTAGGGTGTCCTATATCGTTGTTAGGGCGTCCTATCTCGTTGTTAGGGTGTCCTATCTCATTGTTAGGACGTCCTATCTCGTTGTTAGGGCGTCCTATCTTGTTGTTAGGACGTCCTACCTCGGTGTTAGGGCGACGGCGAGGCTATAAAACCTAGTTAATTATGGAAGCGTGTGTGTACACGCGCACGTCTCCAGTACTATTTTTTAGGGCGGTGCCTTCCTCAAGGCGAGCACCTTGGCCCTAGTGGGGGATAGAGGCGAAATTGAGTTACCACAACAGAATCTAAAAGTATTTTGTAAATCTGAGTTAGAAACTGGTAAACTTCCTGGTATTGCCAGATTAATATCATAGTTCAGTGGGTGAGATATGGCAGTGAAATTACAGAGTCTGATAACATTATGGTTTAGTTCTCAGAATGGCAATGCATAACCTCCATGAGCGTCTCATGACGACGTGATATCATGATATCGTCACGTCAAATTGTAACCCTCGCTCTAATCCCAAGTTCAGGCCCTCAGCAAACTAAGATTCAGTCCCCGGAAAATTATAGTTCTGTCCCACTCACACGGTCTATTCATCTCTATCCTTCAATATTAAGCCCCTTCCACCTTCACCCTCCCTAAGTGACGCCCCTTCAACAGCCGTCCCCCAGGGGGAAGTATTTTTTATTTATTATTTACATTTATTAGTAATGTGGACTGCTGATCTTATTGCTAGCAATGTATCATGTCAGGTTGACCTCCACGCGGTTCCTCCTGGAAACCATCGTGATAAATTCATGGTGGATATGTCACGATGGGCTAACGGACCTGACCTCATGTTCATCTTATTTTATCATCCTCCACTGGTACCCCGCCAGCGTAAACCGCACCGGCGGGTGCACCATTCCATTATCATCCATAAATATAAAAATAAAAAAACTGCCGTCCCAATCCCCCCTCGAACTCGTATAGTGATAGTGTTATGTCATCATCATTGCGCAGCTTTTATCCCTTCATTTATGTTCTGCGCAGTATGTCCGCTTCTTCTACTGATCTCTATCAGCCGTCATATCTGAACTCACTCTCCTTTTATACATATTATGCCGATAGTCAAATAAATTTTCCATATTCTAAAACGAATTAAATTCAACATACACAAATTCAAGAGCATTAGATATACACGTAGAAGAATTTAGACAGTCGGAAACTAGGAAAAGACTCAATTACAAAGACTCAACTTTGTACGTCAATCTGATGATTTTTTCAGATGGTGCTATGTAATCCGGTACCTGGAGGTGGATGTGGAGATGGCGGTGATAACGGCGGTGGAGGAGATGGAGGCGGAGGAGATGGGGGCGGGGGTGACGGAGGTGGTGGAGGTGGTAACGGAGGTGGCGGCGGAAGTGGCAGCGGGGGCGGCGGCGGAAGTGGCGGGGGAGGCAATGGTGGCGGAGGAGGCGGCGGAGGTGGCGGTGGTATCGGAGGAGTAATAGGTATTATAACATTTTGTACATAACGTCCTCGGAGGTCTAGCCCTTTAGCCCTTACTTTTTTAATTTTTGTTTACTTTCGGTGATCGCAGGTTCCCTTCCTGACATGTTTTCTATGTATTTTATTTATGTATGTATTTATAACAGTTGTTATTATCTTTATATCTAAAATTACGTGTCACGTGGTTTGTCCGCGATGGACTCCTAAAGTACTGAACCGATTGCAAATTTGATTTGCATATTGTGTGCAATTTGATTCAATTTGAAAGATAAGATAGCTTACATCTCAATTTATAGTTTCAATATTATTTTATTGCCTTAGCCACAGCAGTGGCTGAGATTGTTAGTATTATTATATATTGTCACTGTATTACATTCTTAATGAAATGAATACATTTAATTGAATTAAATAGGTGGCATCATCGGAGTTGGGGCAGGCGGTGGTGGCGGCGGTGGTCACGGAGGAAAAGGAGGTGGCGGAGGAGGAGGAGGTGGAGGCGGAATTGGAGGCGTTATAGGCGGTATCATTGGAATCGGCGCTGGTGGTGGTGGCGGTGGAGGCCACGGAGGAAAAGGAGGTGGCGGAGGAGGGGGAGGTGGCGGTGGAATCGGCATCGGAAATGGCATTGGAAGTGGAGGTGGAAGTGGAGGTGGAAGCGGCGGAGGCGGCGGCAATAATGGAGGAGGTGATAACGGAGGTGGTGATAACGGAGGTGGTGACAACGGAGGTGGTGATAATGGAGGTGGTGATAACGGAGGTGGTGACAATGGAGGTGGTGATAATGGAGGTGGAGACAACGGGGGTGGAGACAACGGAGGCAACGGATGCGACAAAGGTTGCAAGAAGGGTTGCGGCGATACTACAGTTGACGTATTGAGCCGTATGTATTTTAAATTAATAAGTTATATTTTTATTTTACATTTTGTCAACCCCTTCTCCCTTTCAACTTGTGACTCGTTAGATAGACAAAACGTGACATTGCGTGACAAAGGGTAGGAGGTCCTGAATCGCATGATGTCACATTCCGAAATGTACTATATTATAAGAAAAACTTAAAAATATTTCCAAATTTAATAAAATTGATGGACGTTTCTCTAACACGCAAAAACTACTAGATTTTAATGTAACTTTACAATAATATAGCTTATATATTTGACAAAATTGCAATAGCATATTCTGGTGGTCACTCTATTCTCCCAAATTTGAAGTTAATAATTAATCTGTATTATTGTAAACATGTACAAGCTCATTTAAAAAGAATAAAGGCTGAGTTTCTTGTCAGTTCTGCTCATCTCGAAATCACTCCGAACTGACGGTAGATTTGACATATCATAAGAGTCTGTAATAGACCTATGAATAAAGATATTTTTATTTGATTTGATTAACACATCTTATTAATATTTTAAACGCGAAATTTTGTGAGTATGTATGTTTTTATTCTTTCACTTAAAAACTACTGATCGAATTTTGATGAAACTTTAAATATCTTTACGTATAAAAATTACGACTACTAAACCGATTTGCACATTATGTGCAGTTTGATCCAACTTGAAAGATAGGATAGCTTACATCTCAATTTATAGTCGCAATATTATTTTATCCAAGAATCGGCCGGTCTACTAGTAGCTTATATATATAGAATAACACATAATCTATAAATTGTATGCGAGTTAAACCGCGGGTACAGTTAGTATAGGAGCGGATCGTGAATTTGTGGGGCCCTGGGCTAAGTCTACTTAGGGTCCTACGTAATTATATCACTCAACTAAAAAAATATACCGACCAAAAACAAGCGACCAGAAATTCCCCGTTCCTTTCAATAGACGCGCACTTGCATGGGTTGATTGACCTCAGGGTTGCCAACCTTATGTTTAACCTTAAGTTTTTTTAACAGTCTACATATTTTTTTATATTCTAATTATCGTTTCAGTGGGGACTGGGGGCCCTTTGTACCCTCGGACTCTTAGGTAGATCCGCCCCTGAGTTAGTATGCTATAAAATTCATGCGGAAAAAACCGCGGGCATATGTAGTTATTATATACTCAATAACTGCTAAATTAAGAGAATGTTCAACAATATATTTTTTTTATACTACTATGGTGGCAATCAAGCATACGGCCCATCTGATGGTAAATGGTTACCGTAGCCTATGAACGCCTGAAACACCAGGGGTATCACTTGCGCGTTGCCGACCCATATCTTCTATATATATAAATTTGTTAATTATTGTATTTTTTTTTTTACAGATTTGGTAAATGTCGGAAAATGAAGACGGAAAATTGGACTCTATTGCCTGCTTAGACAAATAAATTAACAGACATTTATATATATTTAAAAATGTAACTTCTAACATTTCAATTTTTGTTATTGAATTATTTTCTTTGTGCACATCGTGGTTATAATCATTACATAGTATAAAGTCGCTGTCGCTGTCTGGTCCTATGTATGATATCTTTAAAACTACGCAATGGATTTTGAAGCGATTTTTTAATAGATAGAGTGACTCAAGAGGAAGGTACAGAGTAGCCAGTAAACAATAACAGATTGCATAAGAAATAAGGCTATATTTTGTACCCTCTTAATTTAACTACTCTATTAATTTTAATGTAATTTTCCTGGTGCAATAAAGAGGATGGAAGTAAATAAATATTATCATATTTTTTGAGACTTTTTAATCGTAAAAACCTTAAAATGCCACCTACAACCCTCTTTGACAGGGCTATGAAAAATGTTTTTGTAAAAAAACTAGAGATGAAACGGATAGCAGTTTGGCCGGATACCGGATACCGACCGGCCAACCATGTGACCGAATAGCCGGATATCCGGCCGCTGGATATCCGGCGGAAAATTCATTTTCTTACAATGTCAATGTCAATTTGCCAGAAAAGAAATTCAAATGTGTATAAAAATAATTTGTAATTGCTGAGAAAAATTGAGATTGCAACTTCAATAGTTGTGATGCGTCATCTTAAGTATATTATTATTCTTTTCTTTATTCATTCATTTTAGAATAGAAAGAAGATTAGAATAAAATAATAAAAATAGTCTGTAGTCAATTTGCCAGAAAAAAATTCAAATGTGTCATAAAATATTTTCTTTGTAAAAAAGTTTATTATAAAATTGAAGAAATTATAAATTATAATAATGTTTTTGTAGGAAATATAGCGCTGACAATGTTATCTGATTGAACAGAGATTAAGTGCGTAGCGGTTTCTATGTTGATTGTCGCATGCCTAATTCTTGTTGTTAATTAAATATAAGTAAATCAATATTTATTTAAAAGAGCAAACACATTCTTCTTGTGACGAATCTGCATTCCGAATGAGTGGTAGAATCAAAATATGACTATTCAAAAGTGCTTGTAATGAGTTTATTTGAATAAAGATTATTTCTATTTCTATTTCTATTAACAGTCATTTACTATTGAGTGAAAATTTAAAACTAAAACTAATTTTATTCCTTAAGCAATACTAAGACTAACTAAATAAAACAAATAATTACTTTAAAAAAATATTTTTTTACCCAGATTTTTCAGTTATCCGGTATTCGGCCGGATAGTATAAAGGACACCGGATAGGCCAGATTCCGGATAATTACCGGATATCCGTTTCATCTCTAAAAAAACCTTAAAATTTATAATGCTGACAATACTATCTTATGATTGGGAAGGTATTGTTAGCAATGTACCACCTCAGGTTGACCTCCACGCGGTTCCTCTGGAAACGACCGTTTTAATTTCTAGTGACTTTAACAATGTGCTAACTGCCACTGCTAACATTCGTAATTTTAGAAGCTGACATGAAGTCAGGTCACTTCATGTCACCTTCAAAGGAATGACGAATGTCCGTACAAACTTTCATCCCCTATTTTATTTTACCCTCTTGAGGATAAAATGTGTACAATTTTGAATGTCATACCTACACATTTAATCAACATCCTTCAAATAAGTTAAAACTATTAAAATGACTATATTTCTATACAACCTATCATCTTCACTTTCAACAGTTTTTCGCATTAAAATATCCAATATCCTTTCTCAGGGTCTAGACTATCTGTGTACTAAATTTAATTGAAATCGGTTCAGGAATTTTGGCGTGAAAGCGTGACAATGGAATTGCTATATAATAAGATGTGCAAACTGACCTGACCTCATGCCTATCTCGCATCGGTAGGATAAGAAACCAAGAAAACTGTCTGGCAATTTAGGAAACTCAGTTTAATAGTTCTCTCAATAATATATATAAAGTTCAGCTTTATTAAAATGACGTAAGTTTATTTATAAAATAGTATAGTTTAGGGGGGTCCGGCGGGGGGTTGGAACCACACTAAGTGTCTGGCAATGAGCAGCGCAAGTTATAATGATGCTACGAACAATATATGAAAATATGGAGTTTCTTAAAATAACGAGTTTGATATGAAATTTTTTACACCTTTGTTACCTGTTACCTGCCAAAGGAACTACGATCCAGGTTTCATGTTTGGGGATCGTTCTTACCTGTGTTGGGGACACACATACAAGAAACGTTTACTAAAATGACGTATGTCTGGCCGTCGTGGGCTCTTGCTCTATATGTATGCTTAAATCTTTAAAACTACGCGACGGATTTTGAAGGTTTATATGTTTAATATATGTACACCCGTGCGAAGCCGGGGTGGGTAACTAGTTATATTATATTTTTTAAGGTTTCTAGTATGTAATATTATCTGTGGTTTTAAATTCATTGCTCCAGTAACTATATATATATTATAATTTTGTAAATATAAATAAATCTGTCAAATTATGGCCCCCCCGGTAGGTTGATGTATCAAAATTACTGAATGTACAATCGAACGAGATTACATGTTTGTTTTAGTTCCTAAGTGTACCACTAGATGGCGTTGTTTAGTTTTATACTTTTTTCTACATCACGCTATTTAGATTTTTTTTGGAACACATAGTCTTTTAATAATTATTAATTACATAATATAACAAACACTGTGGAAAGGTTTCCGTAGTTTAATTTATTTAACTACCCTAATCAAAGACACCCTTGGGGATCCGTGGATACGAGCATTCACTGAAGCTTTAAATAAAAACCAATATTTAATATGTGTCAACTATATATGTCAACAAAATGTTATCATATAAGTACTTAAAAGCGCCGAATATATTTGTCCCGTTCGGGGCCTCAGGGTCCCAGCGCCCTTAAATTCTTTAACGATCTATCTATGCCCTTGATCGACTGTACTGGGAACCCAAACTTTCCTTGCTCCACAGATCTGCTAGGCCATTCGGAGAAGTGTTGCCACCATTTCGGGAATATTTCCATACCGACCTAACCATTTATAATTTAAGTAATTATACATTTTTTTTCAATAATTTCATTTATTAAATAATAATAATAATAAAGAATAACAAATTGGTATCAAGATTAAATCATTCCTCTCTGAACTTATGTTATCGAAGTAAGATTTTGATCTTTGCTTATACTGGACACATTAAAATATAATACATTTTTTTTTTAATTTTAGGTTCTTAGTTGTACAATTAGGTTATGTAAATATGATATTCATTTTAGGACTTACATGCTTGTATTTGAATAGTTATTAAAAATAATAATAATAATAAATATAAATAGAAGAGTTCTTAATAGTTATAATATACAATTTTTGATATTACATTCTAAATGCATTCTTTTTTCATAATTGATTCATTGTAATAGCTGATAATCTGTAACTAAGGACCTAGAAAGTACCTAAAGACTGTGACAAGAATTTTTTTAATTAATAATGTGATTGCGCTTGGTCTTACCTCGTCAAATGATGGTAATACCTGGGATGTAGCGCGCTTACCCAAAAGATATTACATTACTGATTTTAACAATTCTCTCACTATACAAAGCTAATTTTTTTGCGAGTGACTGGGTCTATATAATGCATCTATACATATAAATAAAATTGGAGTTTCTATTTGTAATATTGAAATAACCGTTTCTTACTACATGCATATGAATATAAATACGGTACATACACCAAAAACCACTTTTTACAATTTTTGTGTCTGTCTGTCGGTCCGTTTGTTTAGCCGGAACGGATCTCTGAAATGGCTGGACTGATTTTAACGAGACTTTTTTGGCAGGTAACTGACGTAATAAGGAGTAACTTAGGCTACTTTTATTTTAGAAAAAAATAAGTTAAATTCCACGCGGACGAAGTCGCGGGAACAGCTAGTAATATATATAAAAGACATTAGAGATCACACAAAATATTATTTAATTAGCATGGTTCATAGCAAGGGGGTTCCGGTTCCTCGTAGCGGGTCGCCTCCCATGTGGGTTCCTCGCAAGGGGGCTCCTCGCAAGGAGGTGCAGGCTTCTCGCACGGAGGTTCAGGCTTCTCGCATGGAGGTTCAGGCTCCTTGCACGGAGGTTCAGGCTTCTCGCATGGAGGTTCAGGCTTCTCCTTGGTATTTATTACTGCGACATTGCTTGCTACCTTTCCAGCTGCTTTTTGGTCCACCTCTGTTTTTATAAAGAAGAAAAGTTATAGTTGAATAGAATGAAAGTATAGTTTTTTACGATTACTTGAATGACGAGCGTGCATTGCTATAGTTGTTCATGCACGGGATTTTCATTTAATGTTAGACATAGACATCTATATAAATATACATTGTAAATAAACTGGCTTTTTAAAAAAAAGTAACTCAATTGAGTTTCTTGCCAGTTCTTCTCAATTAGATCTATATCTGAACGGTAGGGAAATAAATAAAATTATAATGTAAAAAAATTTACGTTCATAAGCGGCTAATATGACATACACGAATAAATGATTATTGAATTTTGAATTAAATTACGATTAATTAAACGACAAACGTGCATGGCAGTTGTTCATGCACGGGATTTTCATTTCATGTTAGAAATAGACACTTACATAAGAATACAATATAAAAAAATATTTGTTAAGTTTCTTGCCAGTTCTTTTCAATTGAATCTGTACACTGAACTGAATAACAAAATGTCGTACATGAATAAATGATTTTTAATTTACCATATTTAGAATTATTTAGAATAAGAAATTAAATGGTATATACAAGGAACTAGCTTTTGCCCGCTGCTTCCCTCGTTAATTTATCCCCTTAGGGGTGGAATTTGTCAAAATTCTTTCTTAGGGAATGCCTAGTAGCTTTATGCACGCAAAGTTTCAGCCCTATCGGTTTAAAAATGACAAAGTTTCATACAAACTATCATCCCCTATTTTATCCCCTTGAGATAGAATTAATCAGACTTTCATAGCGGATGGCTACGTCATAACATCCACTTGCATGCCAAATTTCAGCCCGATCTGTCCAGTGGTTTGGACTTGAAAGATCACTATGTCAGTTTAGAAGATACACCTTTGAGTTATATTTAGAAGATACAATATTCTGGAGTTACACTTAAATAATCTTTAAAACTTATAATGAAACATACCTATGTAGTAAGTAAAGAATATTACTTACTAAACGATTATTTAAATGATAAACTTGTTTTAGCAAATCTCAGCTCATTCGGAAAGCTGTCTTATCATAAGAACGAGCAGGAAACTTGCGTGTTGCCCTTTTAAATAACTTTATTGTTACTTTACATTTTTAAGTTGAAGTGTGTGAATACAAACTACCAATTAGCACTAATTCAATTAAATACTCAAATAGAGAAAATATTAAATATACAACCAACTGGTTAAGTATTTAATTGAGAGTAAATCAATCGTAAGATAAGATAAGATAAGATAAGATAAGCATTTATTGTCTATAACTGTGTTACATCATATATGGAAACGACCAGTTTATCCATTTCGGACGTACGTAGTGATTAGAGACAACATCTTGGTACGCGCATTTTATGCGATGGTGCGCGGACCATATCTTAAAGAAAGTATGGTATTTAATATTATCATGGATGGAATAAAAAGCGAGAGGGCAAGAGACTAAAAAGATGTATGGATTGTGTGGAAGACGTTATGAATAAAAGGAGTGTATGTTCAGATATGGCGACCGATAGAGAGCAGTGGAAGAGAATGACATACTGCGCCGACCACAAATAATGGGATAAAGGCAAGGCAATGATGATGATGTGACCAGTCAAATCATTGCGTAATATATGAACTTCATTATAAACTCCTTTTAGACCGACAGCTATGTCTTTATTAAAATTTGGACTCTATGTACCCTAAAAATACTTACTATAATTGCTTGGCATGCAATGGCAACTGATTACCTGAAAGGACAAAGTAATTAATAATATTATTCTATAAATATTATAAGTAAGTACTTATATTTGAAAATAAAATCTTTAAGATTTTGACGGCCTCGGTGGTCTAGTGATATAGCATACCGCTTTACTATCCGATGGTCGCGGGTTCGATTCCTCGCACGGTACAAACGTTTGTATTCATGAGTATGATTGTTTGTACGGTGTTTTCTATGTATAATATGTATGTATTTACGAAAAAAAATCTATATGTATTTGTATCAGTTATCAAGTACCCATAACACAAGCTTTAGTTAGTGACTTGGGTCTAGATGGCGCTGTGTGAATTGTCCTGAGATTATTATAGTACAATTTCTAGTGGGGAGAGGATAGTCAGTAACGGGAACTGGAGGTCCCATTGTCAGCCTATACCAAATATTCCTACCTGGAAACCACAGTGGTATTAGAAAAGAATAATAATAATAATGGGCCCCTGAACCCCGGCCGACTTCGCTTCTGCCGGGGGTAAGTTGCCATCTCCTCTCCTTAAGAGGGGAGATGAGATTTTTTTTTGGAAGTTAGGAATAATAATAATAATAATAATAAGTGCTTTCGGGTTGTTCAGCTCTTGCCAACACTGAGTACTTGCACAGACACAACCAGGGGCCGTATTATGAACTCTTATTCCCATTCAGTTTACGGCTTAAACTGAACTGCCTGGCGATTTCGTATTACGAACGCTATTAGCCAGCCAGTCAGCGGTCACGTGACAGTTGAACGTCTTCTGCCCGAAAACTGACCGGCTATTTCGTATTATGAGCGTTTCATTTGACAGATCTAAGGACACAACTGTCGAAAAGACCGTTTAAAAACAATTCAGTTTACGGTGGCTTCATATTAGCTTTTATTGAATTGTTTTCTAATTTATAGCTTCATTATTGTAATTTGGTTATTATTTCTATTTCTATGTTAGTTTTTATTATGTTTGTAACATGTTTGTGCAGTTATTTCGATTGTTTTTGTTTCCTTTTAATTTTAATTATGTGTGAAGACTCGACTCGAAGTATTGGAGTTTTTGGAAATGTGTGCACCCTACGAAAAAGAAGGAGGAAGGAGGAAAGTGAAAAGACGGCGATTACGCGACCAATCCAATCAAAATGAACAATTTAGAAAACGTTATAATCTAAATAAAGATTTGGTGCGTAATATGCGTGCGAACTCATATGCCGTTATCATCGAAATTTACAGACCTACCAGTGGAAACTAAGGTATAATGTATTGTAATTATTTCACTAAATCACTAGCTGACTATGTCAGGTTTTAGTAGGATTATTATTTATGCTACAGGCATATTTATCAACGGCCTATTAGTGATATTGCTGTTCATTCTTTAGCACAGCCAATGGCAAATAACCGATTTATTGCATTTACCCAACATCCAAAAGTAAATACATATATAAAATTCCAAGGACATCTGAGTAAAGGATAGATAATAAATATTCAAAGGTATCTATTTCTATACAATTAGCAACTGTTATTGTTGCAAATACATCTATGAGTACCATGTACCATACCATATGATATAGTGATAATATATATGGTAAAATGTATGCATACAAGTAAAGCCTAGAAAGCAAGTATACAAGTATGCAACAGTCTGATGATGTGCAGTCTCTCCGGCACTTTCCTCCGAGGACAATTAATTAAATTAAATTAATTATATTTTAGGTTTTATAATTGGAATTTGGAATGCTGGGTGTATTGGGCTGTATTTGACTGTACACATGCCACCCCATTGTAAATTAAGAAGAGATATTACTGTAGAAAACAATACCATTCATTAAATATATAATTGGTAAGTGAAATATAAATTAAAAGACATGTTTAATAATATAAGCACTTTTAATATCTTTTTTTAATATAATTATATAAATTAACAATAAACAAGATTTTAGACATGCAAAATATGTTAATGATTTTACATCTCTAAAGCTACTTATATACTAACAATAAATTGTTTACTTAAATATTAAATGACCATAACACTTAGACATATGTTTCAAATAATCTGTATCCATGTAATTAATCTCATATGTTTCAAATAATATTTATCTATTAATTATTCTCTTATGTTTCAAATAATCTTCATCTATGTAATTAATCTGGAAAAAAATTTTAGGTTAGTAATGCTGACATGGAGATTATAAGTGTGGATGCCAACTGGAACTGGAGCTACTCATGACATTTGGGCAAAGCAGAGGCATTAGGCAACATCTAGAGGACTTAAGCTGGAATAAATCCTTATGATTACTTGGTAAGCACAAAATTTTATTATGAAACTACAAACATCATTACATCTAAGCTCTAAACTTCAGTAATTTAGAAACATAGTTATTTATCAGCACCAACAGTTATTGTGCTGTGTTTTTAATGAAATAATACTTTTTGTAAATAAATATTAATATTATAGTATATAATGTTTTTTTTTTTTTTTAGGAGATCCAGGATATGCTTTAGAGAAGTATACTCCCATCTCAAATGCTATACCAGGACCACAAGAAGCATATTACACTGTAAGAACATGGAATATCATTGAGAGCACAATTGGGCTTCTAGATTTAGATGCCTACATGTACTTTGAGTTCTTATAGAGAACTAAATGAAGGTCTAGCTGCTAGACAAACCCATGTTGTTTAGTTGTGGAACTAAGAAATTGAAACATTTATAAATAATAATATTGTTAATAGGTCAATGTTTTAATTATTTGTTTTTATAATAAATGATATAGGTACATTATTTATGTCTTATTGGTGGTTATAATTAAAGGGATATGATAATTTTATTATATACTAGTTATTACCTATGACTTTGTCCATATGGCATACCTAGTTTTTGTTAAAATAAATAAAATATCTCAAATAAAAGCAACTTGTTACTCCTTTACACAACTCATTACATATGACAGTGAAAGTATCCCTCAAATTTGGTCCAGCTGTTTCAAAGATTAGCAAGAACAAACAAACGGACAGACAAATATATATTTTTTTTAATGTCATTTATCTTACCTTATATATGTATGCATTTACTGAAAAGCTGTTGTAACTGGTGAACTTCAAAATTACAAACAGATACTTCAATTTATTTGCATAGATACATGTATTTCAGATTTTACTGAGATTCCTATTAAATGAAATAAATTAAAATTCAGATGGTTACCTTATAACACTTAAACTTGACAATCCTTTCCAGTATTTAAAACCCCCTTTTCCTAAGGAGTTTAATTGTTGAGCGACGTCCTCACACAAGCGATTGGTATGGTATTCTTGGGCGGACTTATTAAAGCCACTTGCCATTTCCCTATGGGATTTTAAAAATCCCATATAATTTTAAATTACCGGTACGATACACGACGTCGGCGAGGGGTTTCAGTCCGTGATCTACAATTTAGTTAGATAAATATACAAATATAAACAGTTAAATATTTGCATCATTTTAAAAAAACATTACTAAGAAAATGTTAGGAATACTTACGTTACATTAGGTATATTTTCACAATAATTGAATTATTAAATATAACTTGCGTATAAAGTCATGGAAAGGCTAAGTTTCAAATTGTACTTTGCGCGGAATTTTAAGTATATGCACAAAGTTCGTTTGGATATTACAATGAAAATGTTTTTTACAAATAAATCCGAATTATTAAAAAAGACAATAAAACTGTCTGGAATATTTTTGTATATTACACAAATTCTACCATTGTATCTTAATTACTGTTTTCTATATTTAATTTACATTTATTTAATTAATATTTTGTCCAAAAAGTGACACACAAAAACTCAACTTAACGTTGCAACGAATGTATGCGTATCCGAACGCAGCGCGAGAAAATCCACTAACCAGCCAGAGACAAACTATCCAGGCAGAATACGGTTTGAATTTGGACCCTCATAATACGAAAAAGAACAATTCAGTTTAAGGCCGTAAACTGAACTGCCTGGAAACTGACTGGATTTTAAAGAGTTCATAATACGCCCCCAGGTAGCCAAAATACTCCATCAAGAACTAGCTCTGAAGTACGGCCTCGCGAATGAGAGGTTGCCGTACTATAAGTACGAGCCCCAGCCGGTCCTCGAAAGCGACAGCGTCAAGCTCTACTGGGACCGATCCATCATCACGGACAGGACCGTTCTTGCGAACAAACCTGATATCGTGGTGATGGATCGGGCACTTTCGAGGGTGTTTTTGGAGGACATCACCATACCGCATGACGAGAACCTCGTGAAAGCCGAAACTGAGAAAAAGAGAAAATATCTCGACCTGACTCACGAGGTGACCGAAATGTGGGGGGTGATGTCCACCGAAATCATTCCAATCGTTATGTCGGTGAACGGTCTTATCCCAACCAGTCTGGAACAACATCTCAGACGGTTGGGATTCCGGGGCGGCTCACTCCCGGGAAAGATGCAGAAAGCGGTGCTGTTAGATTCTGCCCGCATTGTACGCCGGTTTCTCTCCCTGGGGCCCTGAACCCCGGCCGACTGTGCTTCTGCCGGGGGTATGTTGCCATCTCCTCTCCTTAAGAGGGGAGATGAGATTTTTTGGGAAAAAAAAAAATAATAAAGAAAGAAATATATCATCATATCATACTGTTAGCGCAGACGGATATATAATATCATTGTCATCAATTAAAAATCACATACTATATCGCGCATTCAACCGGGCGTCCACGCGCGCCCGATCGCCCCTCCGATCGATCCCCCGTCCAATTCAAACGGGGATCGATATTACGACGGCCTGAGCCGAGGTTCGAACCACTAGCGGTGACCTCAGACTAAAGTCGTATCCGTCAGGCGGGAGTTGGCCTTCAGCCGCTCCATAAGTCCTTCCGCGGGTTTGGAGTGCCATCTGCACTCGCCCCCTATCGTCCGGTGAAGCTGTAAAGGCCAGCTGCATCCAACAGCATTAGAGTAGTCCGAAAACAAATCTGTATGAGTTGTTCGGAGTTCTTCCTTACTTAAATTATAAATTTAAATTAATTATAGTTGGTTTTCGACCATTGGGCGGCCACTAGTGCTTATGAATACAAATGTTTGTGTTGTGCGATGGAACGAATGGTACCATCGGAAGAAAGTCGGTGTGGTAAACATCTAGACTTACATACCAACATTTTTATTCTTTCTAACAACTAAATCCTTGATTAGGTATGTTTGTTTTATAATATATGACACCATAAGAACGTAATTTGTTTTATAAAAAAGGCAGTTAGTTTTTATTGTAGTGAAAAATAAAAAATACGTTTTGATACATACATATTTTGATATCTATGTCTAAATTAATAAATATATGTTTGTTGTATCACAATATATTTTTCATTTTTACATTATTAATTTTATCTTAAATAAACATTCACACTTTATTTCTGAATGACCTATAAAAGTATTTTGATATCTATGTATAAATTAATAAATATATGTTTGTTGTATCACAATATATTTTTTATTTTTACATTATTAATTTTGTGATATTGCGTTTTAAATAAATATCTACATTTTATTTCTGAATAACCTATAAAAATTGGCAATTAATGTTAATATCCGATAGTGCCACAGCCCTATTTAAAAATTGCAATAAATTGCAACATGGCAACATCGATAATAACAAATTTTTGTCTGGGATTAAAAAACAAAATGTAGATTAAGCTTTTAAATCTATACATATAAATAAAATTGGAGTGTCTGTTTGTAATATTGAAATAACCGTTTTTTACTACATGGATATGAATATAAATACGGTACATACATAAAAAAACATTTTTTACCATTTTTGTCTGTCTGTTTCTCTGTCTCTGAAATGGCTGGACCGATTTTAACGGGACTTTTTTTGACTGCTAGCTCATGTAATAAGAAGTAACTTAGGCTACTTTTATTTTAAAAAATCTTTTATTTTAGGAAAATAAAATTTAATTACAGTTATTATTATTTATGTACAGATAGTTTATAAATATATTTTAAAAGACCTACGCGAAGAGACAACGGACACAACTTCATTTTATACTAAGTAAAGACATATATATAAAGATATACATATGTACTATGTCTTTAAAAATAAAATACACACAAAGATGTCCATCTGAGCTTGATATATTAAATATTTTAGAATAAAACTCACCAAAGTTGCAAGTACGGCAGCTGCTAGTAACTTCATATTGAGTCCCTCAGTTGAATATATGTAGATGTTACACTTGGATCTCTTTATATAGTTACAAAACATGCATAATGAATACGTCATACGTGTACTTAAAAATAACATCATAATGCAATATGTTTTGACAAGTGTTACGTTAATAGTTTAATTAACAAATTGAATATTAAACGACAGATTAACAAAAGACTGTAATATGTTCGAGCTCTTATTTTTCATTTGTGTGAATGATATTGATTGATATATTTTATAATAATAATAATCTTCAAATCTTAGGACAATTCACACAGCGCCATACCGTACCATGTCAGGTTGACCTCTACGCGGTTCCCTCTGGAAACTATCGTGATAAATTCCCGGTGAATTTATCACGATGGGCTAACTGACCTGACTTCATGTTCATCGTATCATCCTCCACTGGTGCACCGCCAGCGTAAACCTTTAGCGCCGCGAGTGCACCATTCCATTATCGTCCACTAAAAAAAAATTAACACAGCGCCATCTAGACCCAAGTTAAGCTAGCTAAAGCTTGTGTTATGGGTACTAGACAACTGATACATATACATAGATAATTCTTTTCGTAATTACATATATATTATACATAGAAAACACCCAGACCGATACAAACAATCATACTCATGAATACAAATGTTTGTGCCGTGCGAGGAATCGACCCGCGATCATCGGACGTAAAGCGGTGTGCTAGACCGCTAGACTACCGAGGTCGTCAATATTTATAATATTACTGTAGAAACTCATCTGTGTGACAAACACAGACACTCACACATACACACACACACACACATCCGCACGCACACAAGCATGTAACTTTTTCATACACTGCAAACAAATACTAAAATAATTTCTTTTTTTGTAATGCTTGTTTTTAAGTTTTTTACTTATGTTTCGTGTGAGTCATATTCATGATGTTCTTTTATTTCCAATGTTTTGATAACTTTGGTGGCCTAGTGGTTTAGTAGACCGCCTTTCTTCCGATGGTCGCGGGTTCGATTCCTCTCACGCCACAAAAATTCATCCAAAACAATACAAATAGTGTATGATAACATAATAGTAACTTTACAGTAAATTTTCGTCTACAACACAATAGCAACAGTAAATCTCGTGTTAGAATAGTGCAATATTCATGAGTATGATTGTTTGTATCGGTCTGTGTGTTGTCTATGTATTAATGAAAATAAATGTATTTGTATCAGTTATCTAGTACCCATAACACAAGCTTTAGCTAGCTTAATTTGTGTCTAGATGGCGCTGTGTGAATTGGCCTGAGATTATTATTATTATCAGTTATCTAGTACCCATAACACAAGCTTTAGCTAGCTTAACTTGGGTCTAGATGGCGCTGTGTGAATTGTCCTGAGATTATTATTATTATTATATTTTTTAAACATTATTATTATATTATTATTACTGTCCAATGTGGTCGCGGTGGTCACCGCAACACTTGACATGTCCACATTTCGCTCGGTATATTTGAATCTGTTTTTTATTACACATTCAAATTACACTTTATACCAGCACGTAACTTTTTCATACACTGCAAACAAATACTAAAATAATTTCTTGTTTTTAAATTTTTTACTTATGTTTCGTGTGAGTCATATTGTTTATGTTCATTTTATATTAAGTTGTTTGTAATTGAGTGTCGTAGATGACTTAATTGATCTGACTTGGTGTTCATCTTATAATCCTCCACTGGAGCCCCGCTTGTGTAAACCGTTAGTGTAGGCGGGTGCATCATTCCATTATCATCCACAAAAGAAGAAAAATATGCAACAGTTGTATGCGCTGGAAATAATAAATGCGATCAATTGCACCTGCATCCGTATTTGCCATGTCGTATTATACTTCAACAAGAGCTATTAACCTAATTGTATAACTAAGAACTTAAAATTAAAAAGCTTAATAAATATAATGTAATAACTAAAATATATTATTAAAAGACGTCCCTTTAGACAAGGTTCCGAAGATACTGGCAGCGTTCCCTCTTTGAATGGCTAGACTAATTCTTTGTCCGAGGTAGCTGCCAGCTCTTCGGTCTTCTGTGCTGTGGACTAACCTTTTCGTTATTTCATTGAAAAGTCTTATAGAGCTAGGACCCCACGGACCAAGGGTCTCGACCCCGAATGTGACAAATTCATATTCGGAGCCTAGACCCCTGTTTTAGAGCCCATGTTTAGAGCTATTTAAATTCAGATGATCACTTTATATCTTTATGACGTCCTCGGTGGTCTAGCGGTTTGACATACCGCTTTACGTCTGGTCACGGGTTCGATTCCTCGCACGGCACAAACATTTGTATTCATGAGTATGATTGTTTGTATCGGTCTGGGTGTTTTCTATGTACAATATGTATATATTTATGAAAAATAAATATCTATGTATTTGTATCAGTTGTCTAGTACCCATAACACAAGCTTTAGCCAGCTTAACTCGGGTCTAGATGGCGCTGTGTTAATTGTCCTGAGATTATTATTACTATTATGCAATAGACTATTTCATGAAAAAGACCTGGTTTTGAGTTGTCCTCATTACATAGTATAAAACAAAGTCGCTGTCGTTGTCTGTCCCTATGTATGCTTAAATCTTTAAAACTACGCAACAGATTTTGAAGCAGTTTTTTTTAATGGTTAGAGTGATTCAAAAGGAAGGTTTATATGTATAATACATGTACACCTGGGCAAATCCGGGGCGAGTAGCTAGTCTTATATGTAATATTCTCGTGTTAAAATGTTAGTTCATTCTCTGGAATGGCTCGACCATTTTTATGAATTTTATATGTATGTTCAGTAGGTCTGAGAATAGGTTTATAACTAATTTTTATACCCCTAAGTGTTAAGGGTGGCTCACACCAAAAAAAATTTTTCATTTTTTTGACATTTTTTTAATTTTACTTTATCATTATGTGGCATTAAAAATACACGTAACCATGTATTTTCACCCTTCTATATTTTACTAGCGATTTTAATTTATATGACTAAAAACATTCCAGTTAGTATACATATAAAATTAATATAAATAACAATGGACAATTAACACAGCGCCATCTGGTCCCACGGTAAGCAGAGCTTCCATTATGGGTACTAGACAACTGATATAAATAGATATTTTTTATTGATAATACATACATAATATACTTAGAAAACACCCAGACCGATACAAATAATCAAACTCATTGTGAAGGATGGTAAAGGTATAACAATAGTTTTCAACACTCATGAATGCATGTGTTTGCTCCGTGTGAGGCATCGAACCCGCGACCAACAGAAGTAAACCGCTAGACCATCGTCATATAATAAAACGCATGTGTTATGTATACTGAAACTTTATTTCCAAATATTCCATAAATAAATAAATAAATTATATTAAAATCGCAAAAGATCTAAAACATTGGGCCCTTGTGGCTGTATTTTTAAGATACTGGCAACATTGGTCCGCTGTACGGCAAGACAATACACTGTCAAGATTTGACCACGTTAGGTTGATTAAATAAAACTATATGATTGTCCCATTCGGGGCCTTGGGGTCCCAACGCCCGTAAATCAATTAACGATCTATCGAGGAGTCTAGGCGACTGAACTCGGGGTCCAAATTTTCCATGCTCCACGGATCCGATATGCCATTCAACAAGGTGTTGCCAGCATTTAGGGAAAACTTCCATACGGACCAAACAATTTACATCAATTTGTAATTTAAGTAATTATATCTTTTTCAATAATTTAATTTATTAAATAATAACAATAACAAAACAAATAAAGGACTCAAGATTGCTCTAATCTCCTCTAGACACCTCTCCTCTCTGAACTTATGTTATATGAAAGAAAGATTTAATGTTTACTTTATAATGGACACACTCAAAAATACTTTACCAATTTAGACAATTCTTTGAAATTATTTGCGAGTCACATGAACCATAATAATATGTATAAAAACATTGGAGATCACACAACAAACTAGTATTTAATTAGCAGGGACGAGGTCTCTCTTCATCGCATGGGGGTTCTGGGTCCTAGCATGGCACTTCCTTGCTGTTAGGTTTAGAATCTTTGCATGGTTTCTTTGGACGATTAGAATCATCACAGGGGTCCTCCTTGCTATTAGGTTTAGAATCTTTGCATGGCTTCTTTGGAGGATTCGGATCATCGCATGGGTCCTCCTTGCTATTAGGTTTAGGACCGTTGCCCGGATTCTTTGGAGGTTTAGGACCATCGCATGGGTCCTCCTTGCTATTAGGTTTAGGACCGTTGCCCGGATTCTTTGGAGGTTTAGGACCATCGCATGGGTCCTCCTTGCTATTAGGTTTAGGACCGTTGCCCGGATTCTTTGGAGGATTAGGACCATCGCATGGGTCCTCCTTGCTATTAGGTTTAGGACCGTTGCCCGGATTCTTTGGAGGTTTAGGACCATCGCATGGGTCCTCCTTGCTATTAGGTTTAGGACCGTTGCCCGGATTCTTTGGAGGATTATTATCATTGCATGGCTTCTCTGGAGGTTTAGGATTATCACATGGGTCCTCCCTGCTATTAGATTTAGAGTCATCGCATGGGTCTTCTTTGCTATTAGGCTTCACTTCTGTAAGTATAGCGCAGTTTTAGTTAAATGGATAAAAGTGTAGTTATATAAATTACTAATACTTAAACGACAAACGTGCATGGCAGTGGGTGTTCATTCATCATATTTAAATGAAAAAGAAATTCAGCTCAGTTTTTCTTAATTGAATCTGTACACTGAACTGGATAAACGGTAAAAAACATGCTGAAACTTGGCGTTGATAAGCGGCTAAAGTGTCCTACATGAACAATTAACTAGAATAGTAAGTTTTTTGTTTGTATTTTTTCAAACACAATTGTACATTTTGTATTTCGTAAACGTTATACAGACTTGATTTAGGTCATTAACTATATCTTTCTTAGAATAATTAGAATTTGGAATCTATATACACTAAAATACTTACTAAAATTGCTTGGCCTGCATTGGCAACTGATTACCTGAAAGAACAAATTAATTATATTATTTTACAAATATTACTTGTATTTTTTTTTTTTACTTGTATTAAAAAAAAGGATTTAAGATATAGTACAATCCCTAATGGTCTCCCCACTAGATAGTTAGTAACGGGAACTGGAGGTCCCATTGTTAGCATGTACCATCCCTAGTGGTGAGAGGATGGTTAGTCACAGGAACTGGAGGTCCCATTGTTAGCATGTACCATCCCTAGTGGTGAGAGGATGGTTAGTAACGGGAACTGGAGGTCCCATTGTTAGCATGTACCATCCCTAGTGGGGAGAGGATGGTTAGTAACGGGAACTGGAGGTCCCATTGTTAGCATGTACCATCCCTAGTGGGGAGAGGATGGTTAGTAACGGGAACTGGAGGTCCCATTGTTAGCATGTACCACGATGGTGTCCAGGACCAAATACATGGGTATTTGGTCCTGGACACCATCGTGGTTTTAGAAAAGAATGGACTATAAGTTCATCCTATCTGTCTTCACTGATGCCCCGCCTGCGTATGCAGTTAGAGCAGACGGGTAAATGATTTCATTAATATCTATAACAAACAGTTTTTTGAGACTGTGTGAGTTATCCGGAGTTCCATCTTACTTTATAATAATGTCTCAGGGGAATTCACACAGCGTCATCTAGGTCTAAGTTAAGCGGAGCGTATTGCGGTTTCCCCTGAAAACTACCGTGATAAATTCCTGGTGAATTTATCACGATGTGCTAACTGACCTGACCTCATGTTCATCCTATCATCCTCCACTGGTGCCCCGCCAGCGTAAACCGCTAGCGCAGGCGGGTGCACCATTTCATTATCATAAAATATATATATATACCTATACTATACACATCGCAAATCGCTACCTAGTCCCAAGTTAAACGGAGCTAGTGTTATGGGTACTAGACAACTGATAGCTATACTTAGATACACAAGAAAACACCAAAATCCAATAATTAATATTTTGTATTATGTAAAAATAAGAAAAACACAATTACACATCTTTCTTAAAAATACAATACAAACAAAGATGTCGATCTGAGCTTGATAAATTAGATATTTTAGAATTAAACTCACCAAAGTTGCAAGTACGGTGGCTGCAAGTAGCTTCATATTGAGTTATTGACTCCCTCAGTTGAATGTACGGAGATGCTACACTTCGATCTCTTTTTATAGTTACGAATTATGCATAATAACACCTCACAAGTGTACCTCAAAATAACATCATAATGTAACATGTTTTGACAAGTGTTACGTTAACATTTTAATTAACAAATTAAATATTAAACGACAAATTAACAAAAGGTAATTTATTCGAGCTCTTGTTTTTTATTTGGTCTAATGATGTTGATTGATGTGTTTATATTGTAGAAAGTCAAATGCGCGAGTACACCGGCCTGACCTACATCAGTTGCGAAGCAGCTTCGTTTGTAAGCTGTGCTTCAGTTATAGACTGAAAAGATAGTGAAATTACAGGAGAAGAATATAATACACATAAATGCGCACAAACACATAACTTTTTCATACACTACAGATAATATATTAAAAGCATTTCTTCTTTTATTTTGTAATCTTGTTAGTGTTTTTAAGTTTGTATTTGTTTCGTGTATATCTCATTGTTTATGTTAATTTTAAAGTAAGTTGATTATGTGAGTGTCGTGTGTATAAACATTTACCTAATAAATACCATTTTATTAGAATAGGAAATTGTTTATTCAAATAAATTTATTATAGAATAATTTACAATGTTAAATTTATTCACAGATAATATTTTGCAAATACTTATCTAATTTTTAAATAGAATAGAATAGAATAGAAAATCATTTATTCAAATAAACTTACATTGAAGCACTTTTGAATAGTCATTACATTTTTTTTAATCTACCGCTCGTTCGGAAAGCTGTCTCATCACAAGAAGAACGAGCAAGAAACTTGCGTGTTGCTCTTTTAAATAATTTTATTATTACTTTACATTTTTAAGTTTAAGTGTGTGAATACAAACCACCAATTAGCACTAATTCAATTAAATACTCAAAAAGAAAAAATATTGAATACATAACCAACTGGTTAAACAATTAATAAGAGGAAATCAGTCAGTGATTAGAGCAGACCAGTCCCTACAAGCAGCACCCGTTCACGAGTGTCATTGTCGGATGAGCCAGCCATCACTGCGCTCGACCATATTTTAGGGAGCCCAATGACCCGGCCCACCACGCCGCCACAAGTCTGGACATTTTAGTGAGCATGACTACTCAAAACACTAGACCACGTCAAAGCTACTCACAATTGTACAATAAATACAACTCACAATAAATGTTTTTTTTATTGTCTAATAGATAAATTAAGTTATAATAACTATTTATAAGATATACAATTTGGAATTAGGTATATCTACACCATAGTATTATATACGTACCTAAACCACAAAATATTTTTCTATCTCTATAATAATGACTTATATGATATTTAACTTCAGAACTACTTTATGTATTAATATTAAACATATATCATTACTAGATGTGCCAGCGGTTTCAAGTGTGAAATTTATAGCCTATGTGTTATTCTAATGTGTAAGCTATGTAATTGTAAAGTTTCATTAAAATCCGTTCAGTAGTTTTGGCGTAAAAGAACGAGTGAGAGAAAAAGTGTAACAAGCATCCATCCATCACAAATTAACAATTCACGTTTGTAACATTAATAAGCTATTCCTGTACTTAATCTTTTGTTAGTTACCTAGGTGTAGATACTTGAATAATACAATTATTTACAGTAGCGACTAGTAACTCACCTCACCATTTCAGCACTTTTGAATAGTTAGTAGTAATTTTTTTAATCTACCGCTCAGTTGGAATTCTATAATATTACAAGAAGAACGAGCAAGAAACTTGCGTGTTGCTCTTTTAAATAATTATTGTAACTTTACAATTTTAAGTTAAAACTACCAACTAGCACTAACTGATTAGAATAAAAATAATTAATACTCAAGATACTGGTTGACCAACTAAATAAGAGTAAATCAGTCGTTAGAGCTGACCAGTCCCCAGTCCCTACAAGCAGCGCTCGTTCACTATATGACGGATGAGTCAGCTATCACTACGCTCGACCATATTTTAGCATCAAGACTAACAGTCGTGACATCTCTATTCTCCGGAATAACAACGCAGAAGTGGTAGATGAATCAAATCAATCAAAATATATCTATTCACATGAATAGAGATATTTTGATTGATTTCATTCATCAAGAGTCTGTAATAGACCTACATGCCTACACAGGTCTATACCTACAGGTCTATTACAGACTCTTATGATATCTCAAATGCACCGTCAGTTTGGAGTGCTTTCAAACTGAGAAGAACTGACAAGAAACTTAGCTCTTATCCTTTTTAAATGAGCTTGTACATGTTTACTAAAATACAGTCATTTTTTAATATAAATTAGGGAGAATAAAGTGACCAACAGCATATGCTACGTCAATTCTGTGAAAAGAAAATGGTCCAATCTGTGGCCGATGATGATGATAATGATATCCGGACGCACTATGCGTAATGCGATAACACTTAATGACAAAAAATATTGTTGTTTCGTTGATCTTATTTAAAACTATTGTTGTTATTCCAACAACATTTTGTTGTGTGGTAGCGGAAACTATCAGTGAGTGCCAGAGTTTGGGAGGAAGAGAATTTTAATAAACAGTTAGCGCAGGCGCGTGCATTATTCCATTATCTATACATATAAAGATAATTTGAGTGTCTGTTTGTAATATTGAAATAACCGTTTTTTACTACATGTATATGAATATAAATGTGGTACATACACCAAAATAACATTTTTTACTTTTTCTGTCTGTCAGTATGTTCGATCTGTTTGTTCCAGCTAATCTCTAAAATGGCTGGACCGATTTTGACGGGACTTTTTTTGGCAAGTAGCTGATGTATTTTACTACTACTTGTATTTTAGAAAAATAAATCGCGGGAACAGCTAGTCATCCATAAATAAATACTACAATTCTGTGCACTAGGAAAGATAATTTCGATCAAAAGAACATTCATCCCTATTTGTCATATTATATTGAACTAAACAAGAGTTGTTTCTTTACAGATATTCACTATATTTTTTGTGCATGGCACTATTTCATGAGTAGTCTACCTGGTTTTGAGGTTTTGGTATAAACTGAGCTTGTGTTATGTGTCTAGTACACAACTGGTATAAATACTTAAACATGTTGATTGTAAGTACAAATATATTATAAATGGAAAACACTTAGACCGATGCAAACAAACATTACACAGTACTAGGAATCGAAACAGCGACCATCGGAAGTGAAGCGGTGTATAAAACCGATATACGACCGAAGCCGTTATATATTGAAACACATGTGTTATGTATACTGAAACTTTATTTCCGATAACTCCAAAAATAAATAAATTCTATTAAAATCACAAATGATCTAAAACATTGGGCCCTTGTGGCTGTATTCTTAAGATACTGGCAGCATTGTTCTGGTATGGCAAGTCAATACACTATCAAAATATGACCCTGATAAGTTTTTAATTAAAATCCATTATGTTATTTTGACACAATGTACAATATGAGTAGGTACTATCGAGGAGTCTAGTCGACTGAACTCGGGGTCGAAATTTTCCATGCTCCACGGATCCGATATGCCATTCAACAAGGTGTTGCCAGCATTTAGGGAAAACTTCCATACAGACCAAACAATTTACATCATTTTGTAATTTAAGTAATTATATCTTTTTCAATAATTTAATTAATTAAATAATAACAATAACAAAACAAAACAAATAAAGGACTCAAGATTGCTCTAATCTCCTCTAGACACCTCTCCTCTCTGAACTTATGTTATATAAAAGAAATATTTAATGTTTACTTTATAATGGACACACTCAAAAATACTTTACCAATTTAGACAATTCTTTGAAATTATTTGCGAGACACATGGACCATAATAATATGTATAAAAACATTGGAGATCACACAACAAACTAGTATTTAATTAGCAGGGACGAGGTCTCTCTTCATCGCATGGGGTTCTGGGTCCTAGCATGGCACCTCCTTGCTGTTAGGTTTAGAATCTTTGCATGGTTTCTTTGGACGATTAGAATCATCACAGGGGTCCTCCTTGCTATTAGGTTTAGAATCTTTGCATGGCTTCTTTGGAGGATTCGGATCATCGCATGGGTCTTCCTTGCTATTAGGTTTAGGACCTTTGCCTGACTTCTTTGGTGGTTTAGGACCATCGCATGGATCCTCTTTGCTATTAGGTTTAGGATCTTTGGGTGGCTTCTTTGGGGAATTAGGACCATCGCATGGATCCTCTTTGCTATTAGGTTTAGGATCTTTGGGTGGCTTCTTTGGGGAATTAGGACCATCGCATGGATCCTCTTTGCTATTAGGTTTAGGATCTTTGGGTAGCTTCTTTGGGGGATTAGGACCATCGCATGGATCCTCTTTGCTATTAGGTTTAGGACCTTTGGGTGGCTTCTCTGAAGGTTTAGGATCGTCGCATGGCTTCTCTGGAGGTTTAGGATCGTTGCATGGCTCCTTTGGAGGTGTAGGATCGCATGGGTCGTTGCTATTTATTACTGCAACGTTGCTTGCGTCATTTCCAACTGCGGTTTGCTGTACGTCTGTAATTATAGAGCAGTCTTTTAGTGGAATAGAATAATAGTATAGTTTATTAAATCAATATTACTTAAACGACAAATGTGTATGGCAATAGTTGTTCATGTACGAGATTTTCATTTAATGTTAGACATAGACATATAGTACTTTAAAAAAAACTCGGTTAAAAAATATAAATTTAATTCAGTTTCTTGCCAGTTACCGAACACAAATAATCGGATTAAGGTAAGGGAACTATGATGATATAGCAGCGACATTATGGTAAAAGTGATAATTTATATAAATTACCGCAAGAACTTAAATTATTAAAGAAACGAAGTTATTTTACCAAAGAATTTAAGTGACTGCTATTAAAGAAATTCCTGTACCTATAAATCTGGCGATTTTTGAAGTTATTTTATTATTAATGTTATTTTATTATAATACAACTTGAAACTGTATACTTAAAATCAACATTCAATTGTGTTTTTAGACTCTGGACGATTATTTCAATTATAAATATTATAAATAAAAATAAAGTAATAATAATTGTAATAATGCTAATAATCTACAATTTTAAATATAGATATAAATCGTTTATTTGTTTGTTACTAATCACACACAACATGTTAGTGAGTATAGCCAATACGTAATAGCACAGTAGATTTATAAAATTGTGTTATTATGTGTGATCTGTAGCAATACAAACAGGTCGAAGCTCAGCGTGGAACATTGTTCAAGGAACAAAACACTGATTTTCAGCTTCAACCCATTTGAGGGTACGTGAAAATAATAATTAAAATAAATATAAAATAAAAAGAGCAATATTATTGGTGACTGTCTGTGCGGTGTGTGTATAATAAAAATAATGTAAATAGTTCACAGTATAAAATGATATAATATTAACCGAGTGGTAAGGATAAAATAGAAAAGAAAAAAAAAGAAAATAATAATGAGAGTAACATAGAAAAATTTTTATTAAAAATCATTACGTGAGATTGCAACCGCTAGCCAAGAAATTTCTGTGGAATGCCTAAAATTTGTTTTTTTTTTTATAATAATATGTAATATTAATCTAATTGTTATAATGTAGATATTAATATATGTAATTATTAAGTTTATTAATAAAATTTGCATGCCTACTGAAAAAAGGCTTATTACAGCGCAGCCTACTACTGTCACTGGGGCTTTATTGTTATGTGCACATCTGTCTGTAATGCGAATAAATGACTTACTTACTTACTTATGTACATACTTACTTCAAACACAATTTACATTGTTCATGAATAAATAATTAAAAAAATACTGCGTACTACGTAAATATCATTAGAGACTTCTTTTAGACCGTCATCTTGTTAACATTAGAAAGAAAGAAAGAAAGAAATATTATTAGAATTTGAAATCTATGTACCCTAAAATACTTACTATAATTGTTTGGCCTGCAATGGCAACTGATTACCTGAAAGAATAAATTAATTACTTATATTATACAATAGGAATGAAGATCATATCCTAAGGACGGTGTTACATATGAATGTGGATGGTTATAAGGGTAGAGGAAGACCTTCAGAAGAAGAAGATTCACACACTTAAACTTAAATTGTAAGTAAGAATAAATTATTTAAAAGAGCAACACACAAGTTTCTTGCTTGTTCTTCTTGTGATGAGACAGCATTCCGAATGAGCGGTAAATTAAAAGAAAATGTTATGACTATTCAAAAGTGCTTCAATGTAAGTTTATTTGAATAAATGATTTTCTATTCTATTCTATTCTAATAAATATTAAACATAATTTATTAATATAATTTTAATAATATGGGTTATAGACCATATGTCTTTATTTAATAATATAATAAAGATATCTCTGGAGTGTGTGAAAGATGATATAGTGAGAAAGGTAGTAAATAACGAGATGACTGCGAACAGAGATGAATGGAAGAGAAAAACATATTACGACGACCACAAATAAATGGGATAAGGAAGAAACAAATGATGAATATCTCCGGAGATTTACACAGCGCCATATCATCCCAAGCTAAGCAGGGCTTGTGTTATGGGTACTAGACCACTGATAGGAATACTCAGCTGCACTAGAAGGCAAACCAATACAACGACTCGACATTATATTTATACGTGAAGCAGAAACTTTGCACACTTATAGTTTATATAGAAAAAGAGTACAGGATCCAAAAAAGATCTTTTAATTCACTGCTCGATGTTATATACTCTTTGTTATTAATAAAATATATGATGTGTCTTTTGATGTAGATTGTCATCTATGAATTCAATAAATTGTTACTACGCATTTTTGAAACATCATCATCTCAGCCCGATGGCGTCCACTACTGAACAAAGGCCTCCCCCATTTTGGCGCTTGGCATGCGGGTTGGCGATCGCAGTGTGATGGTAGTTACTCAGTAGAACGCTGCTGCTTTTGAAACATATATACCTATATATTTATACGTTACCTCTATATCGATAGAACTTTAAATAATTGATACAAGAATATGGATAAGACTTACATTTTGAACACGAATGAAAACATAACGAACAAACATACATAAGAATTGGCCTTTGGCCTCATCACTTGTTCAAATATGAGGAAATTTAAACGTAGACTAGGCTGTACGGTCTAAGGATCTTTGCCTGTTCCATCACTGAAAAGGAGATGGACGAATATGGGAAAAAAAAAATGTTACTACTAACTATAAATCCTTACTTTAATTTATAAAATGTTGGCGACGAGGACATAAAATGGATAAAGCACAATTTGAACAGTTCCTGCAATTACAGTGCACACAACATGATCAATTAACTGAAGTAATAAAACTTCTAGCTACGACAACTACGTAACATGCACATTGTCCCACGGAGACGCCTGTGGGCTCGCACAGCCAGGATACGCCCTGCACACCTGTTTCTAGCACATCAGGTATTCACAAATTATCAATATAATAACTCTTAAAGGATGATGGGTGTCATTTATTGTCGGATCCTGGATCAGTTAAAAGAGGCGTTCCACAGGGATCAATACTTGGTCCGCTTTTGTTTATTTTATACAGCGCTGATCTATCAAACGTAATAAGGAATTGCCAATACCATTGTTATGCAGATGACGTTCAGTTGTACATTTCTGAACGTCCTGATAAGGTTAACGTAGCGGTACAGGCTTTAAATGAAGATCTAGATCGAATTGCTCATTGGTCAATTAATAATGCTCTAGTCCTTAACCCATCTAAATCTAAATTCATGGTCATTGGCTCAAAAAACCAGAAAGAAGCCATTCTAAGTAGAAGTCCCTCCGTGAAGATACTTGGAACTGATCTTGTACGTGTTGATGAGGCAAAAAAATCTGGGTATTATTTTTGATAGCCAGTTGCGATTCGAGCGTCATGTATTAAATGTAGTCCGAGACTGTTTCTACCGTTTAAAAATATTATATAAAGTACGTAATTATCTCACAGAGAGAGTAAGAATATTATTATGTGAGTCCCTTATTCTCTCTAAGTTCAATTACGGTGATCTAGTATATGGTCCTCGCCTTGTATGTAATTCTCGGAATATAATGCAACGCGTACAAAATGCTTTATTCTGTTTTGACATACCTCCACGTACTCATGTCTCTCCATTTCTAAATAATGCATCAATTCTTAACATGGAATCACGGAGGCGGTTGCATCTCGCAGTACTGATGTTTGATATAATGACATTTAAAAATCCAGAATACTTATATAATAAATTAAAATTTTCATCTTTTGAAAGTCATTATGTCGGCGTCCCTAGATCAGCACGGGTTCCTTTAGCAATGTATTCTCACCGAACTGTTGCTTTTACAGGAAGTTTCCGCTACCAGGCGACTAAATGCTGGAATAATATCCCTCCACCTATAAGAGCCATTACTTCAAAACAGGTATTTAAGAAAAAGATAAAACTTTTTCTACTAGACAATTCCTAGCATTTATATATTATTATTATTTTTTGAAAGCCTTTGGTCGCTTAGGTAATGGTCTGCGTCAACAGTTATTTGTATTTGAATTGATATTGATATTGATACATTTTGATTTATTTATTTTATTATTTTTTTCTTCTATTATTTTTATTAAGAATTAGTTTAATTTAAATTTTGGTAACATTAAGATTGTTGAGTGAATATGTCGCTGCACGCGATCGCACCACCACTGGGCTGCTACTGAAAATCAGTGTTTTGCTCGCTGAGCAAATTGTTCACTGAGTAGCTCAACCCTTTCGTATCCCTGTGGCACCTAATATATATTTTAATGTTTATTTTATGTGGAAGTTAAAGTATTATGTGTTGTATTTTTTTTTTTTTTATAATTATTTACTATTCTTATGTGTTATTTGAATTTTGTTTGTACTATCTTTGTTATCGGGATACGAATAAAGATTTTTATCTATCTATCTATCTTATCTATCTATCAATATTAAATAATTTCAAATGTGAAAAATTTAACCCGTCAACAACTACGGTTGAAAATTTCTTTGATTACTTTGAAATAAAATGCGAAATATTAGACGACAACATAAACAACGGGGTTAAAAAAGACCTATTATTTAACTTAACACCAGTTAGACTTTTTGTGGTTCACTGGCTAGGCCCGGCAAGGATAAGAATTGAAGGGTAGTTTTAGGAGCTATGGTTTTTATCTCTTCAGTATAGAATGTGTACTTTCTATAGAAGATATTCCCTTAATACATAATCAGCTGCCCTAATAAACCTTCCTCTTGAATCACTCTTTTATTAAAAACTACATTGAAATCCGTTGCGTTATTTAAAAGATCTAAACGAGTCAATAGTGGACGCGAGTTCTTTTTATACTATGTAAAGATAAGAAAGGTACACTAAGACTTAATGTTAGACATAGACACCTATATAAAAATACATTGTAAATAATCTGGCTTTAAAAAAAAAAGTAATTCAATTGAGTTTCTTGCCAGTTCTTCTCAATTGGATCTATATACCGAACTGGACGGTAGGGAAAAAATAAAATTATAATGTAAAAATTTGACGTTCATAAGCGGCTAAAATGTCCTACATGAATAAATGATTTTTGAATTATGAATTTTGAATAAAGAAATATGTGTACATATTTCTTAAAAATGCAATACAAACAAAGATGTAGATCTGAGCTTTACAAATTAGATATTTTAGAATTAAACTCACCAAAGTTGCAAGTACGGTGGCTGCAAGTAACTTCATATTGAGTTATTGACTCCCTCAGTTGAATGTACGGAGATGCTACACTTCGATCTCTTTTTATAGTTACAAAACATGCATACAAGAACACGTCATGCGTGTACTTCAAAATAACATCATAATGCAATATGTTTTGACAAGTGTTACGTTAATATTTTAATTAACAAATTAAACATTAAACGACAAATTAACAAAAGGTAATTTATTCGAGCTCTTGTTTTTTATTTGTGCGAGTGATGTTGATTGATGTGTTTATATTGTAGAAAGTCATAGGCGCGAGTACTCCGGCCTGAACTACATCAGTCGCGAAGCAGCACAACACTGAAGCACAGCTTACAAATGAATGTAAGCTGTGCTTCAGTTATAGACTGAAAAGATAGTGAAATTACAGGAGAAAAATAGAATAGAATAGAAAATTATTTATTCAAATAAACTTAGGTTTTAAGCACTTTTGAATTGTCATTACTTATTTTTGTAATCTATTCATTCGGAAAGCTGTCTCATCACAAGAATGAGCAAGAAATTTTAATAATTGTTGTACCTTTAGCTTTTGAATTGGTATTCTTTTAAAATCAACTTGTACATGTTTACAAAAATATAAATTTAAATTTAAAATATGGAGAATAGAGTGACTTCCTGCACATGTTGTTTCAATTTTAGAGAAGAAAATAGTGTCTTTGGCTGATGATGTAATATTCGTAGTGCTGTTCATGTATATAGACGACAGTTACAATTTACCATCAGATTAGATGTTAAATCTAGCGTCAAAGCCTTTGAAAACCGGCGGCTCCCTGAGCTGGTTTCCAGACGCGACGACCTGAAAGCCCGACCACCTGCAGCTATCAGCTATAATTATGTGAGTGGTGTGCTGTCATGTCCGCAATGTGCGAGGAATTTACAAACAAAATTGGCTTCATAAGTCACGGCAAAACCAGTCGCCGTGGACGAAATCGGCCCGGATTCGTCACCATCAGATGACCCTTGAAGACAGTCGCTGTAGCTGAAATCGGCCGGGATCACATCATCACCATCAGGTGAACCGTCAGCTTGTTTGTGATAAAAGAGTTCTATTATAAAAGTGTATGTTTCTATTTTTTTATAGCACGAACTAGCAGCATACCTGATGGTAAGTGAACATGACAATAATTGCAGGTGAATTGTAGGTCTTTTAAAAGGAGGTGGGTAGTGGAAGGAATTAGGAGAGTGTAAGAAGAAGGAGTATCGGCATCAGGTACCTTTTTTATGTATGATAATGAAATGGTGCACCCGCCTGCGCTAACGGTTTACGCTGGCGGGGCACCAGTGGAGTATGATAAGATGAGCGTGAGGTCAGTTAGCCCATCGTGATAAATTCATTACGAATTTGTCACGATGGTTTCCAGGGGGAATCGCGTGGAGGTCAAACTGACATGGTACATTGCTAGCAATAAGATTTCAATCCATATTACTAACAATCCTCTTTTTTCGGTATTCGGTACTTCGATTCCCATGTATAATGCTATAACATATTTGTACGTTTTTTTTATACTACGATGGTGGCATACGGCCCATCTGATGGTAAATGGTTACCGTAGCCCATGAACGCCTGAAACACCAGGGGTATCACTTGCTTTTTCTTCTTGGCTGTAGTCTCGGTAGGCAGTTCATTCCACAATCTAAGTGTTCCCGTGATACAAAACGATATAGACCATAAGGAAATATTGGTTTAATTCAACTAAAATGCTAGTAAGATATACATGTTGAAATGTTACAATATGACGACAATTTTTTTAGTTTCTATACTATTCACCCATCCTTATGGTGGCACGAACAGGCCGTTGGGGCGAATGAACTAATTCTGAACCTGAATTATCAGCATTTAAATTTTCAAATGTAGATCTATCTGTATCAGAAGGGTTATGAATGGTAGTTTCATCTTCAGTGACTACTTCTTCAATTTGCCTATTAATTGGCGCTAGATGTCGATTTGATAATCCTCTCTCCCATCAGCAAAGCGTATTATAGAATAGTTTGGGTTTGATTCCAGCAGTTCCACTTCTTCCACTAAAGGATCATATTTACTTTTTCTTACATTTTTTTTTAATAGTACTGGGCCCGGAATCATTAACCAAGAAGGTAAAGAAACTCCATTACCAGATCGTCTCGGGAAACAGAACATCTTCTCATGTGGTGTAGCATTAGTAGCTGTGCATAATAACGATCGAATTGAGTGCAGCGCTAAAGGCAAGACATCTTCCCAATACCGAATATCTAGGTTTTTGGATCGTGAAATTGTAAGTTCTCCACAGAGTCCCATTCGTCTTTCGACCTGGCCATTTCCTTCTGGATTATAAGGCGTAGTCCTGCTGCATGCAATATCATTCCTCTTTAAATTCTTGTGACATAAATCCAGTTCCACGGTCTGAATGTACATAGAGCTCCTCTCTATTTTCTTATCTTCCAAAAGTAAAGAAAAGATGCTTTAAACTTGCTATTATAGTAGCGGATGATACATCTTTGCAGGGGTAGGCAAAGGGAAATCGAGAAAATTCATCAACAATAGTTAAAATGTATTTATTTTCGGAATTTGAAGGCAACGGCCCTTTGAAGTCTAAACTAAGTCTTTCAAATGGGGACGTCGCTTTAATAAGTCGTCCTTTACTGTTTGCAAATCTTGGCTTTATCTCTGAACAAATAGGACAACTTGCAGTCATATTCTTAATTTCAGTAATCGAATTCGGTAAATTCTTAGACCGCACCCAATGAGCCATTCTTGTGATTCCTGGATGGCTTAATGTATTATGAAGCTCATATAAATTTTTGCGTGAAAACATATTAGCACAAACTCTTGACAATGTATCAGATACAATATTTTGTTTACCCGGTCGATATATAATATCAAACTTGAAACAAGATAATTCAAGCCTCCATCTCTCTATTTTCTCGTTCTTAATTTTACTTGAATGTTTTTGATTGAACATGAAGGAAACCGATTGTTGATCCGTTATTAAAAGAAAATGTTTTCCAATTAAATAGTGACGCCATCTACGTAGGCTTTCAACAATTGCCGACGCTTCTTTCTCTATTGAAGAATGGTTTCTTTCGGACTCTGTCAATGAGCGAGAAAAAAAATGCTACCGGGCGACTATTTTGTGAAAGTGTTGCTGCTAAGGCATGTTCAGAAGCATCAGTCTCTACAGTAAACATTTGTGTGTCGTCAATAGCAATTAAAGCATTGCAATATCTTTCTTAAGACTCTCAAAGGATATTTTGATAATGGAAATGAATTATTAGTCGCTAAATTGCTTATTTTCTCTGAATAGTTATTTATCCATTTATAATGTGCAAACATACCTAATACTCTCTTTAGAGAATTTATATCTGTAGGTGCAGGCATGGAGAGTAAAGGTTTAAGACGCTCTTTATCAGGTCTTA